TAGTGATATTCTATATACGTTCATATGTACTATGTGGGTTATAAGCATTTATTGTGGAATTAATAAAGAGTAAAATAAAGATAGTTATATTTTGATTTTAGTTTTTTTTTTGTGTGAAAATTTGGCAAGCGCGCAAGTGGTTCACCTGATGGCAAGTGATTGATAAACTTCATGTCGTGATGGTTAATCGAATTTGACTTTGAGATAGAGTTACTTATACGTTTGAACCATATTTCTTTAATCGATAAAACCTGACGAAAGAAACTTATGGCGAGGCCGCATTAAAAGCTTTTGTACATGTACAAAATTTTCGTGAGTTATTTCGTATATGAAAAACAAGTTATTTTTTCATTATTCTAAACGGATAAAAGAAATTCTTTACATTCACCGTCAGATATTCGCCGCTTTGTTACAAATATATGAAGAGATAGGACTTTGGCATTAAAATTTAATTAACTTCCTTTTGTGTGCGTTCTATAGTGGCTTTGTAACACAAGTACAGTATATGTTGTACTGGTCTACAGTGAGGTTTAATTTTAGGCATTCCTCGACCTTTTGTTATATGGCCTCGTTCGTGATTAAATTTTATCAGAACTAAAGGCAAGTTTGATTACTTCAGACCTACTTACAAAACTTAACGTATATACTTTCTAAGTTCTTTAAATTTTTTGTAAACGTTGGTTTGGGGAAAATCGCTTTTTTGTCATTAAATATTCCATCCATCTTTTGGACACCTTGCACCTCATTTTGTGGATCTTTTACTGCCAAATTTATGAACATAAAACGTCCTTACAACACAGGATAATGTTATTCCACGGTAAGCCTGTTATACCGAGTTAAGTTCAACCGTCCTAATAATAAGAAATATGTTGCGCAGACTTTTCATCCCATTTGAACCCATCTCGCATGTAGGGTCGTACGAAAATGGGTCCGCTAAGTTCGCCGTGTCCATCGGAGCGGCTCACTTTCCACCGGCTGCTCCGCCCGCGGCCCGGATCATTTATGCCCGGTTCCTATATTCAATGAACGGCCGTCAGTAACGTAGCTTCGTAACTTTCATAACGGCTTGTAGATTAAAGGACCTTGAGTTACTAGAACTCACTTTCCGTAGGTAATGCAACGGCTCGTAAGGAAAACCTTACATTTTGTTAATATGGGAACCAGGCGTACACGCATTTTATCCTTACATACATACTCTCTAAAACCATAACCCTCCTTCTGGCGCAGTCGGGTAAAAACAGTAATGGAACATATGCGATAATCAATGAATACATAACAAGTTGGATTAAACATTAAATGTAAGCCTTTAAAAGGAACGAACACCTTTCGTAGGTTGCAAGTAAATCTATCGGGTAGTAAAACTGCTAACATTTTCATTTTCGTCGCCTCCATGCCCACGGGTGAAGACCATTAGATATGTGAAACCGCAAACGAACGGCCGAAGAGACGATTTCGTGCGCAATGGAGCGCGTCGCCTGCGAAGACTTCCCCATTCTCACCTTAGCGCTATGTGTCTGCGAACCCGAGCTCTTACGACTGTTGTGACCATCATTTCTGTAGTAATTATTAAATTTTACTATTAACATAAAATGTTAACGAACTAAATGATGCCTTGACGCGTTGTCAAACCTTAGGAGTCGGTTCGTGTTTTCATTTAATGGTATTAAAATTGAATCCATACTTTCAACTAAACGAGCTGACAAACACATTACGAAGCTACGAAATTAAATTTAGTAGTTGCGTTATAATTGTTCGTTTTAAAATCAATTTCAAAATTCCAAAAAAATGTTTAAACGCTAATGCTAATGATAAGTGTTGATACAGATATAAGCGTACAAGAATAAATCGGCAAACCGGGGCGGTAAAATCTAAGAAATGTAGATGACGTTCGGGAATCACAAACCGCTCAGCAGCCTCAAATACTGCCAAATCAACTGATGTACTTGATCGGCAGAAGCCGATTGAAGTCGAACAAGTGCAGTGATTGCTTCAGGTCAGCTTTGTTGTTCGACAAAATTGGCGCACCAACAATTTCGGCCCGCTTATGTGTGTAGCAAACCCAACACTGAACTTTACGCAATCAGTACTTGCATCACCAGTGACCAATTTTCCTTTCAAATTACTGTTTTTTTACTTTGATAAGGCTCCTGCTGTTTTGTAACTGGGCAGGCTCGTTCGGGAAGTACATACTAGTCATAGATCCAACAGAAGAACGGCGTGAACGGCGTAAATTATACTTCTGCGTTTCGCCTGGTAAAGTAACATACACATATTAAAATTAGATATTAATATCTATTAGTAGTTAGTATTGTTACTTAAGTGAAAAGCCTGTACAATACGAGATAATTTTCTTTTGGTGAAGGAAGTTAACAAACACGTGTTTTGTTATTGGATGGCTGAACGGGCTATCCGCAGTATGCGGACAAGTTGGCCACCTCAGTAGGGTTGAGTGGGGGCCCACGTATTTTAGCGCGGGGGCTCGCTCGTAACGAGGCACGTGATTTCATTGAACTGAGGGCACTCCAATATCGATTTCATCCTATTTACCCGATACCGTTCTGGGGGAATCCTTTAGTATCAGTGGAAAATTAAGCAAATGCCTATAGAGTGTATAGATGCTGTTTAATAAGCTTGCTATGTGTATCTCGCCAGGATTAATGAGCTTTACCTTCGAAAGTGTTGATCCTGATTTTTCCAGATCGCCAATACTGCATTAGATACATTTTAATCACTACATAATATAAAATAAAGTCTTCCCGCTGTCTGTCTGTCCCTATGTATGCTTAGATCTTTAAAACTTACCAACGGATCTTGAATCGGTTTTTTTACTAGATAGAGTGATTCAAGACGAAGGTTTATATGTATAATACATTGCACCCGTGCTAAGCCAGGGCGGGTCGCTAGTATGCCATAAATTAAAGCGGCAATATATTTTTTAGTGTTAGTAGTATTCAAAGCAAATAAAATTTTAATGGCTTAAGTAATGACGAATATGGTTATAGTTTAAAGTTTCAACACACGAAAATAATTAGGTACATTGTGTTTTGAAATCGCTAATGTTTGGCATATTAGGGGCTGACAGTTTATCCTACCTATATCGTGATTTTCCAAAGTTGCATTTATAAATGCTCTTCGGAAGTGTACCCTTGCGAATAGAGCTGACACCGTTTTAACTAGTCATTTCCGATTTGTTGGCTTATTCGAGTCCTTAACTTTGAATAAAGGGTGGAAATAGCTTTGACGCGTTGTACTTTGCGGGTAGCGGATTGTGGCGGATTGCGGTCGGATTAGGAAGCGATGAAGTCGCGACGGCGAGACGTCACCGCGGCGATTACGCGATTACGGCGGCCCCAATGCGACTCTCAACCCGTTGGCGGGAGGAACACGAGCGATTACCAGTGGAAACAATGCTGGATTATGAATTACGCGATAATCAGCTTGTTTCTCTCCATTTCGAAACGTTTATGGAAATATTCACAGCTGGGGATTTCGTCATGAGGGACTGTTGGGTGTTTAATCTTTGTTTTATTCGATAACTCATTAGTTTGATAATAATTCATTAGAATTGAGATGTAACAAAATTGAGCCATAGCAAAAGTAAAAACAATTCAGACACCTACTAATGAGTCGAAGATTGTTCAATTTCACCGCAAATGTAATTAAGACATCCAAGCTTAACCAACGCATATGTACAATGTATGTACATACGCAGTGCACATTAAAACAAAGAAATAAATTGTCTCGAGAAGACATCAAATACTCGGGAGTGCATTTGATTTCGTATACCTGACACTGGCTAGTTCAATAACATTGTTTCCCCAGCGACTGGCGCCATTTATTTTTGAATTTATCGTTTTCACGAAAGTTTATCGTATTTTTTACCAACGGCTCACGTTATTTATTATGTATTGTTGTTTTTTTTGGACTGGAAATTTCTATTGGCAGTTTTAGCCTTGTTTTAATAAGTATTGTTTGTAAAAAATTAAAAGCATGTTCATGTCCATAGTGAGAAACTTTTAGCTCATATTTATTAAGTTTGTCTGCAACATAAGGCCAGAGCACATTCTAATATATTTAATATTTTTACCCGATTGTTGTGTGATCATACATTGTACAATAACATGCATTTATAAAGGCAGTCGTGGAATGGGATTACACAGGTACGTCAAACATAATTGTGCTACAATGAATATTTCGAAATTTAAATAAATATCGCTTATCTTATACTGGATAAAATGCGATTCCCTGGCCGCATTTTCGATCAGATAGCGTAAATTCCAACTATGTCATCGATGCGATAGAGCACCAGGGCCGCATAACCTGCTAGACGATTGAATCCGTTTAGCGCTGCCGCGGTGAGTGAACTGTAATCCGGGATCGTGAGCCACTCGGTGACCGCTAATTGCCTGGTATTAAGGGCTCAGGCCCAGTGCCTCTATTCAGCGCGCCTCCGTGTCGCCTTAATCCAGAAGTCGGTCTCTGTCAATTCGTCGACGGACTCGATGCGTGACGTGCATTTAATTTTGAACGAGCTATCAGTTTGCGATTCGACATTCGTACGCGCAATTGTTGTTTCACTTTTTGAGCTAGGTAACATGAACGTTTTTTATTTGTCATTAAATTTTCATCATAAAATGAAGGCCGTGTCACGTTGATCCTTCCTATACGGAATTTTTTAAGAGTACTTATCACGTGCTCAGCGGTGAAGAAAAACATCGTGAAAAATATCCTAAATAGGTATATGTTGTCTGCCACGCAGCAGTGGGGTCGCGTGGTGGTCTATGCCTTGATACCCTCTGTTCAGAGGAGGCCTTTGCCCAGCAGTGGGACTTGTATAGGCTGTTTATTTACGATTAACGCTTTATTTTAATCATATTTCTAATAATAAATTTATGAGAAACATTTTAATATTTCTGACTATTACAAGATCTATACGGGTTATAGGTTATTAAATTTGAAATTTGTTATAATGGTGAAGCTTTCGTTGTATATCGGCAAAAATGGTGACTGTATTTACATGTAAGACATCTAAAAATGTTACACATAAAATAAAATATACCAAAGATCGACGCAACTATTGGAAAATAATCAAAATCCTGTCGTTTAACGCCAATGAGGCGTGCGGAAACTGATTTCACTGTATATTTCGTAGCTGTCTTTAATTCTGTGGATAAGACTACTATTATCGACAAGTGCAGCTACAAGCATAAAATGGTTTTTGATTTTGTTGTGAGCCCGGCCCACGCAAAATGGTTAAATTTCAAAAATCTGCTTTCTAACTTTATAAGTAAGGTTTTTAGATGAATAATTCACCGATATACAAAAGAGCAATTTATATGCTGACGCTAAGAGTTATCGTCGCAAGTTTTGTTTATGCAAAGTTTCCCGCATAAAAACGAGCTTCAATATCTCCGTAATTTTTAGCCGCTCGTAACATTCTCTCTGCGCATTTTTTGTCCGGCGCTCGACGCCGTTCTGTTGCAGTTGGGCAATGCAGCCCTGTTATTATACGCGGTCCAGCGTCCGGTGAATATGCATCCCTCCAGCTCTGCCATTTGCATAGTTGGCAGCTGACGGCTCATTGGAGCGCCGCGCTACCTCGCTCTTTATGGCACGACCGCGGCGTCGCTCCCGCCGACCGTACGCATTCCGAAATAGCGCTACAGTGCGAAATATTTACGCCATGTTCGAATTCATCGCGAATACGACTCGTAAACAGCTGACGGAATGTACAATGTCACATTCTATCCATACCGCGAATATCACACAATATTAACTAATGAAAAATCTGTGTAATATTTTCGTTGTAGAGATAGAACAGGATATTCTATTAATAGTATTATTGCTACAATTTTTAATCGATTCCATCTTGCACATCGGGAGACAGTTAATATTATAATCATGTGATCAATAAAAAAGAATCCCGCACACACACACTTTATTTATGACCACGTTTTAGTTTCCCCTAGGTTCTTTATTGTTTCTTGCTTGGTACTCGTATTCACGAATAATCAATGCCTGTTTAGTTGTTATCACATCATTGTAATATAAGAGGCATCTGAGAAATGTTAATTTGGAACTTATCTTTCTAAATGTATATCTCCATTGGAAATGGAGGCTCCATTGGAGGAGGCCTTATCCTCTGTATAGAAAGTGTTAGAGCATTTTGGTTGAGTTCAAAAATGTTTAAATTCTCTATATATGTATATCTTAAGTACATGTGCACATATAATTACAATGAACATTGTTCTTACTCCCCGCATCAGGGTTTGATATAAAGTTCCTCGTATACTGTAATGGTAATGATAAGGGGACCACCCCTAGATTGTCTGAAAATGCCTTGATAAGCCTAGTAAATGAGAAACTATAACGATTGTGTTGTGTTCATGTGTTGTTGCAGAGGCGGGCGAGCGGCCGCGGCGCCCCTCGTGGCAGCAGCCGCAGCCGCAGCCGCCGACCAGCAGCGTACTGCTGGCCAACTTCGACACCAGCGTACAGCAGGTGGGTCTGATGAATATGTTCGCACTAAACTACCATCCCACCTTTGAGCGGCGAAATACCCGCTATCTCAGGTGATAAAGCCACTATCTCAACGATAAATTGTAATTTGTTGTTCAAGAATGGTAGAGGTACTCGAGTGTCCGTTATCCAAGACTGGAAAAGGGACGGAAGAATTAGGTTCTGTAGTGATTTCTGCATATACCCTTACTCTTCGAAATATATACTCCACAAACCCGAGAGGCTTGCAACACTGCTCGATACTGAGCTAGAACCAATTACGTTACCGCAGATGTTTTTTTTGTGTTCGTAAGCTTTTCTGAGCACTTAGACGACATTTTGCGTAACAGATAATGTGGCCAAAGGGTCCAAATAATAATTATACTTGGATTATTTTGCCATATTATCACCCCGTGAATGAACATTTAATTACAGCATGCTTACGTTCTCGCCCTTTTCCGGAATTTGGAATCTCTTTCGCCGAATCCAATCTAGAACCAACAAAGGAGTTTCTAGAACACTACTATATGTTTATTTTTTTAGCTGGGACCAGTCATACCCAGTTATTTAGTGGGTAAGCCCACGCGCCTATGTCCGCCCTATTTACTGACACCATATTGTAAACGCGACCACGCGACCTGATTGCGAATAATCCAACTTCACATCACATATCTTAGAAATATTTTTTGTCATTATTTTGAAAACATTCAGGTTTCCTCACTATGTTCTCCTTCAGCACTAGGCACGTGAAAAGTCAGCACTTAAAATTCCGACTAACAAATGAACAAAAATATAAATAATGTTTAACAAACAGTGCCGGCACTTGAAATTTAAATCGGGTTGCTTGAGGATATTAAATTAAAAACGAGCGCCCAGACCATGAGTAATACGTCTAATTTTCTCATATTGCCATAAATTAGTTACGTTGTATGTTTGGTACAAGAATATGTTATTGTGATCAGTCCATGTGAAAACGTAAGCATTTGAAGGGAACACAAACAAAATTCAGAAATTAACATATCAAAAAGTTTTCAATTCGATTAGCAATTACTGTAAAATGGCTGTCAACTTTTGTTCCGCTCGTCACGTTAACATGCGCTCACACTCGAGCCAATGCACAAACGCGCCTCTCTCTTCCGCTCAGTTTGCCAAGTGGAACTTCAAAAACGATATTATACTCGAGCGGCATTAATATTCCTCGACATCTGCGGAAATAACATGAGCGAATATGGGACATGATGAAATTCATACGGCGCCAACGTAGCGTTTTTTATTCAATCATTTCTATATAGTTCGTATTTAATTCGCACGAGTGCATTTTCCTAGATCGGCCCCGTTTGTGATCAGTTGTACTTTCCAAGAAGATATAGTAACGTATGTCAAAGAACACCTTTACAAGATCTAGAAGCTTTAGAAAAATATAATTAGGAAATTGCTTTGTTTAAATCAAGACTTAATGGCATGTTCTCATAATCTAGTTAGGGTGACAACCATTTTTTTCGTAAAGATGTTTGCTAATTTCCTTGTCACTTTAATCGATTCAATATAAAATCAGTTAACTATCTTTTTATTGACTACTCTTGAAACTGAAATGGGATGAGACTGAAATGATGAAAGCGCGTGAATATAATAAAAAGTCAACATTTCCTGCAGTAATCAGAAACAACGGCTGTATTATTATCATAACGGGTATCCCTCGGGATACATTTCCCCAGATCGCTTAATAAGCAGCTTAGTTAAGCATTTCACAATTTCGTCCGACCTTGGCTAGAGCTCTAGACCGTACTTCAAAGCCTGATCACCGAAAGAGTTATAAATATTAATGCATTCCTTACTCACAGTCTCGAATAGTCTTTAATTTATATTCGTAGCGAAGAAAATATATTTTAATGTGTATTGGATTGATTGTTTTCGTACTGAACTAAGTTGCAAATGTAAAAGTTTAACTTTTCTTGCCCTGCTTTTCCTTCCTAGGAATTTTGATGCAAGCATTATACTGCTAGCCTGGTCATTCTATTATAAATATCATAAAAAAACAGGTGCTCGATGTGACCCATTTTTCTCAATTGCCTCTTGTGAATTCCACGCTATTAGCTTATATTAAATATGCTTTGTTTGGAATTCTCGTGGTGTTGGAATTTATCGATCGGTATTGTGTCTTTAATAAATGTGAAATCCGCATGGTATTTTTGACTTAAAAGTCTGTAATTCTCGATATTATTGCAAAAGTTCTTTTTAATTGTAACTAAGTCCTTCTTCAAGCTTTATTTCATTACCGATACATTTTGAAAACGTTGCTTTAATATTACCATTAAAAAAATCTGTTTAAGGTCAAGTTCGTCTTACAAATATGTTATTTAATGTATATGAGTTATTTTGTTTTATGTTAAAGCTTTAAAAGTGTTCAATTTTAAAGTTATTACCTATGTGAAGAGTGCATGTAACGGTGGGGGGCTTTCAGCCTCCGCGCTAATTGCGCGCTTTCGCGCCGTCCGCCATTACGCGCCCAAATGATTTGCCGCCTTTTTGGCCTTTTTCTGCAATGCCTTAGTTGTAACATATTGTAATAGCGTTTAAAACGTGCTTTAAATACAACATTGTAAAAGTTACAAATTTTTTAAATATTATAAATATAATTCCACTTTACATTTTATTACTGAAACGTAGCAAGTACGAATTTTAAATTGGGTTTGGGTTCGAGAAACTAATCCTCGCCGGATGAGTTTTCCTTTTATTTGGTGGGTAGTTCGGATGGTCGTAAATAGAGCCGTGTAGATGGGCACCTACTGGGGAGGTGGTGTCTGCAATATCTCCGGCCGAACCGCACGTGGCCGCAGCAATTTCTTTTTAATCCGCTCCAGCCGACCTCGCGGGAGCGCCCGACCCTCGCAAACGACCAGAACTCGGTGCAGCCTCACCCGGCCTCTCGAGCCACTTATTGTAAAACATTACAACACACGGCATCGAACTTCTAACGGGCGCCATGATATTAATTGCAAGAGAAACATTGCAAAGCTATTTATTTTTAATTCATTTTCCATTTAGTAAAGCTACTTTTCCTTACCAATAGCAATAAGTAATTAGTGAAAAAGGGCAGGCCATATCGCTGAGACCGAATAACAAATGGGGAAGGAAAGATCTCAAATGGTGACCACTAACCGAATGAAGTAGCGTTGGAAGGCCCCCCTCTAGGTAGACGGAAAATGGCAGTGTCGTTTGTTGTGCTGTTCTAAGAGCGATGCCTTTGTTCAACGGACATCTTCATCTTTTATGATGGTGATAGATTACTACTTTTAAATATTATTACTGACAAGCTTTTCGCCCGCGGCTCCGCATGTAGAAGAAGTACGCATGGAACACTTCGTGCACGGGTCCGACTCGCACTTGGGCGCTTTTTTTTACTTTATAATTTTACAGACCATAATATATAGTCCAATTGAACTCTAGTTATTATATGCATAGTATTTATCGCACAAATCTTCAATGTGGTTCTTTAAGTTAAGTAATATAACTTTTTTATTTAAGTACCGATTGAAATAAAACTACAACTAGTGAAGCTTAGCATTAGTGAAAGTTGCAATCAAAACTGTTAAGCCGTTTTTGAGATTAGCGCGCACAAACGACAAACAGACAAACAGAAAAACAGACAAAAATTTTAACAATCATTGTTTTTGGTTCTTCTACCCAGGCCTAGGCCCCCAATAATAGTTTTTCTCAAATATCAACGTACAGAAAGTTCAGTTACATTTTTATTATATGTATAGATAAGATAAATTGACAGAAATTTTTAATCTGTCAATCAATTTTATTAACACTAAATAAATGTTGGTGGCAAGACTACCCTCCACGATCGCTTTACGTCTCATTGGGATCAAAAATGTGAGCGCTTTTTAATTGTTTAATTTTATTAATCATTTATGTAACAGTGAAATCTTTTAAATTGGTTAATAGCAAAATTATTATCCGTGTTTATTATATGATTGGTATCAGTATCATCAGATATCGGAAACGATCCAAATCGTTACTCGGCGTCTCTGTCCCCACTTCTGGTCCGTGTGTCCTCCCGCGGCCTGAAACGAGCCGGTGTAAATCAGTATTCGGAATGGCGACGTTATGGCGGTGCCGGATTGCGGTCGCAGATGACCCGCCGCCGCAGAGCGCCCTCGCACAGAGACGCACTCGCACGGCTTCCATCAACACGGACAATTTTATGCGACCACGCCGTCAGTTAGGACGGTGAATGATGTTAAATTCATAATCCGCTTTAGATGTTAGTCATTCGTTAGGTACTGAAAATAGCAGCACCATCTGCTCGCCTGGCTAAGTATGTGAAATATCGCAAAATGGGGACATGTACGGTATGTGTAGTATAATTTAATTATTTTAATGATATTCACGGTTGCTAAAGGCTTCGGCGCCGCAGGTTGTTGGGTCGATTTTTTAATACGACAAGGTTAATATTTCATAAAAATAAATTTTCATAGGGCACTTGAATATACCATTTTCATCCACACATATATTAGATACTGCTGTCCGCGACTACGTATGCGTAGAATTGGCCGAAGGCGTAACATTCCGACAAGAAGATAGATATACGTAAAAACATGTATATAAATTATAGCCTATGTTCTGATAATATAGCTTATACATCAGATATATTCTGATGTATAACCTATATTATAGTTAAGGTTAATTAGAATCCATTCAGTAGTATTTGCGTGAAAGAGTAACAAACATCCATCCATACATACAAGCTTTCATCTTTATAATATTAGTAAGGATATTCATATTGCATAACAGATATTAGAGATTTGATACTCAATGAGGGACATTACTAACTTTAAATGAGATTGTTTACTTTATACGTGTCAATCTCACCAAATCCGCACCTGACGGGTCTGTCTCTGGCCGATAGTAAAAAAATACTTGCGCCAACGTGGGCATGGCGTGCGATGGTTCGCCCATTGTTCCAACTTCCAATCCGTTCGTCTAGAAATTGGATCCGATAGCAGCTTTGGTTCAGGCCTCTCAAACGCTGATTTTGTTTTATTTCTTTTCTCCATTTGCATTTCGCTACACTAATCAGTGGAAACTAAAAGGAAACGTATAACACCTTATTTAGTAAAACGATTGTCTGATCTGGCTTCATTATTGTTTTACGCAAATATGGAACCTTATTACGTGAAGTAATGATATACAGACATTTTTATGTTGTATTTTCTACTTTTTGTTACCGGTACACGAATCATACATAACTGGCGAATTTACGTATATGTACTGAATATATAAATAACGTATTTTTCTCAATAAATGAATATTTATAATGCCATCTTACGAACTTATTTGAAGTTAAAAATACTACACCAGACCAAAAACATAAATAATGGAATTGTTTTTCAAAAGTAAAAAGTTAATAACGGTTGCTTAGATATGCCACTGTTATTATCTACACAATATTAGTTATTTGTTTGTCATTAGTTCATAAGGTAAGGTGAAATGGGCTTATACCATACAATATCGACGTACCAAGCATGCAATTCACACGTACCTAAATACAGGCTTGAACTGAAGATAATGACGGCGGGTTAATAATTTTCTACGTTTGCTCTCCTTTTGCTCTAGTTGCAGACGCTATCCTGAATTAACTAATTCTTCTTTTGCCCTTATCCGACCTAGGTGGGGTCGGCACAACATATCAATCATGCTGTAAATAGTATTGGCTAAGCTTTTTACGACCGACCGCATGTCTGACGTCAACCCTCATTGGGTATAAATCTCTTCTTCTCGAATGTATTCTTCGAAATTTGCTCCTTAGTCACTGCGCGGTATTAGTATTAAGTGCTGCTTAACTATTTTAGATGAAGTTCAACGGTCTCCAGTCAGCTTAACGTTATCTTTATCGAAGCATTCGCTTTGTTTCCATTGTTCCCATTGCGACGCTAACAAAGGCTCGTCGTGTAGTTTATGCGAAATCCACCTGCTCCTCGGATCTGCTTTTGTAAATAATTTAAATACCTACCGGGATGCAGAAATTGTTCAGTAGTTACGAGCACATTTTTCTATTCCAATTTAAATGACATTAGAAATAACAGCACTATGGAGAACTAATAAGGCGGGAATTTTATATTTTTCATTAAACGAACAAACAACAAAAAATAACAACTAAACAAAAACTTGTAAATGTGTTATTTTTGTATGGAAAACTTTGTATTTTTACCGACATTGCTCTTACTTTCAGTCTAGGAATTTTATCGTTACCTGTGCTTAGGTAACATGTCTTGTTGTTTCCCTAATGTGGCCGTACGATAGATGGAGTTCCAATACAATGATCTGATCGATCGAGAGTAACAGCCAAGCTTGTTGCTTTCTTTAGTGCAATCGAAACAAGCGCTAAGGAGATGCATTGGAGTAGAAAACATCGATGCACGGGCTAACGTGATGGTCGTTTTAGATACGGGACTGGGTGAGCGCTGAGGTGGAAATGCTGCGAGCGCAGGCGGTCGCCGTGGGCGACGTGGACGACATCGCACAGCAGTTGGACAAACAGAAGGTGGGTGACCACGCCACTAACGCTCGTTCCTCCGTCCTACTTGTTGCCCTGATGTCACCGTTGATGACGGGCCTGATTTAGCCTTCCCACCAACTAAACTCACTTCTGGCTTTGTTCTCGTGACAGATGATAGTGGGCTATATATGGCGACTGTAATACCTTCCGATAATTTCCCGCTGCTGCCGCCGTGCTGAACTATTGAAATGATTTATAAGATGATATTGCATTTGCTGCAAATAACTAAGTAATAGTGAACATCTTCATTATAATTGTATAAGTGAGGAATGTATTTTAGCATACAATCAAGTTATGTTGTACGATGTACTTACGTATCTGGTTGGAATTGAATCGTTAGTCCGTTGTATACACAGTAGCCGTGTGCATATATTTATTGACATTAAATGCAATGCAAGCCAATTGGTTATAATTTTATTAATTTATCAAGGAAACACACTACACCACACTTATAATTATTACAAATAACTTGTACAGGCACCAGCTTAGTTTCCTCTAACAGAAAATCATAAATTTACAGAAAATATAAAGTAAGAGAGAGAAAAAAAAAATCGATTTCAACCTAAATAATTAATGTATAAAAAATGTAAGTATTTATGAACTACTACTTACTTTATGTACAAGAATAACTACTTCCTTTGTGAAAAGAACTCCGTAAGGATAGACTTAATTTCGCCTGCATGATTATCTTGGAAAGTATCCTGTTTTATTATTGTGAAATTATTTACTACGAATCATCGATTTTACTAAATTACTGGCTTCAAGATATTGTTTAAGTATCGATAGCGCGGTACTATTACTACTAAAAGTCAACGGCGCTGCCTCTTCGTAATAAAGATGCCGTCGGCAAAATTGCGATCGCATCAAGTCAAAACTCGCCTTCTATCAGATCAAAGGGGAAGCATACGTGGATGGGGAACGGAATCGATCCCCACACGATTCGCTCCTGATGCGAATTTAAATGAAGCCAACTCCCGCACCTCTGAGGGCAAAGTGGGGACGAACCGAGGGAATTTGCCCCTGGCTCGAGTCCCTGATGGCCGCGACGATGTCCTCATAGAATTGACTGCACCGATCAGTTGTCACGGGATATTGTTTTTGTTGCGAGTTTTTCTCAATTTCTTAATGATTGAAATGTAAGAAACTGTTAAATTACAAATGCTTACGGTAAAATAATAAATCAAACGTTTCTCTTTTGAAGTGAATTAAGAAAATATAAATAGTGATAATATTCGGAACTGAATATCACATATAATCATAATACAGATGTGCGAAAAACTCTATGACTATGCATAGCATAATATTAATGAGATATCATTTAAATCTTCACAGTTTGTTTTTACCAACAAAAATATTTAAAAATCTTTGCATGTATGATGATAAAGTAAGTTCTAATAATTTTTACTTTCATTTTTATTCTTTGTAATGCTAAAGTCCTGCCATCTATATTACTCTGTAAAAACTACGAAGAAATGTTCTACATTGGTTCTGAAGGATTTCGTTAGATGGCGCTAAAATAAAGTATTGCGGATACTTTACACTTACACTTCTTATCCGGATCACTTTTTTTTTGCATTTTCCGATAGTGCAACGTAGCAATCGGGGAAAGCAGTCATTTGTATTCCCTTCGAAGCGTAAATAGCTTTTGAGACTAGGGAATTGGTTGGCTTGCAGCGAAAACCTGTTATATAAAATATACGTGTGTAGGTACTGCCACCCACTATGTCAGCTTCACACATTTTCAGACAAATTGCAATGTATTAGATATTAAATATTTCCCATGAAATATTTCACATGATGTTATATGAAAAGAAATATATTTTTTTGTAAATTCCGACAAAAATCTATTAAAATTCTTAAATATCGACCTCAGGTTAGCGATTTACACGGTTAGACAAAAATGTGAGCCGTCACGGGACGCCTGGCAGATGTGAAACATTATTTTTTAAAGTAATATGTAGAAAAGAACAGATTGTGATACGAACTAAATATGGTAGCACACGGTGGTAGAGCCACGCAGCAGCCTCGGCTGTTGCACGAATGGGCAGGCTCGTCCGGGCAAGTACCACGACCTCACAGAAGACCAGCGTAAAGTGGAAGTATAATTTAAATACTTTCGCGTTTCGTCTGGTGAGTGAGGTGGCCGGAGCCCAATTTTCCAAAAAGGTTGTCAGCGCATCTGCAATCCCTCGGGTGTAGCAGATGACCATGGGCGGCGGTATTCACTTAACATCAGGTGAACCGTCTGCTCGTTTGGCAATTTTTTAATTTAAAAAAAAATATGTCATAATGATAAAATAAAATATTACGTTTTTTTCCAGATAACGATGACTATTTATTGAATTAATTAAAGAACATTTATTTCATTAAATACAAAAAATTACGAATTTATTTCAAATCGTGACTACTTAATTCGTTTAATCAGTGACTTCGGTAATAGTACACACAATTAAAGTTAATTTAATTAATTAATAAATAATTATTAACAATTAATTTAAATTTGAGTAATTAATCGTACACACTACTGCTTATAGACTGTATATATATACCATCATATAGCGTGGCTAAGCGTCGGCACGGCATGCGTCGCCACGCCAGAAGTCGGTTTTACGTGCGGCTATAGATGTTTCTCATCAAAATTTAAACGTGATTTAAAAAAATGATTGAATTTATTTTTCTCCTTTGATGTCATCTATAAACATTTTGATTTCGGTCCTTTAAAAGTTCACACTAATTTAAAATAATTAATTAGATTAGATTTTAGTAGAGAAAGTGATTACCCGTTACACTACCCTTACACCTACTAACAAATATTAACTAACCATAAAACCACATACTTATGTAAAATATTTTCCAAACGTATTTAAAATTTCTCCTATACATATAAACCTTGCATCTCTTCGTTATGAATAACGATCTTAAGCCATCGTTTTCCATTGCCTTTGTACAATGTAGAACAGGGTAGGTCGGATGCTTCAACAGAGTAATGGATTAGGGTGTGTATCTAATGTCGCCATTGTGATGCAAACACGGGGGGCGCAGTCTGGCCCATTGAGCGGCCGCGCATTGTGCTCGCCTCGGCGCGACGCGGTTCGCGACGGGTACACGATTCACTGCACGCCGAATGTAATAGTTATGCACACGATACCCTTTGTTTGGTGTGTCTGTCGCGTGTGCACATTTTTATATGCGATGATATTTTATGTGCACGAAAACTATTGTGTACGAAGTTCGTATGTATACCACTAGTGAAACAAAGCGAAGACATCTAACTTCTCAGAAAAGATCTCCTCGTTACTTTGGTAGAAAAGATCTCCTCCTTCGCTGGTTCGTCACGCTATTACAGGAAAAATATTTTTTTTCATTGATACGCTGATTGCTTCACAGTTTTTCTTAAAATAAAAAGGAAGTCAATTAGAACGGCAATTGACAGTTTCATTGGTACAAAGGATATGTGATATTCACATAATTAAATTCAGCCATTACTAGTGCAAACCCTAAATTGAAAAGATCGACCATGTTTTAATACTACAAAAACTGTTATAAATAACCTTAAAAGCCAACAAAGATGAAACCCGTGTCCTTTTAGATTATGACTGGATAATTAGCGTTTGTTTAATTTCTTTTGAAAAACTCGCTTCGAACAGTTTCGCGAAAGAAATCCCATTGCGAAAAGTTATAACTTCCACAGTCACAATATCCATTTCGCAACTTGCGCAACTTGCGAGTTAAGTCGACTTGATAACTTTTTATCCGGGCTACGTGAGCGTACCTACTCGGGGCGAGGAAGAAACTTTTTCTATACCGCATTTTTATTCACAACGATTGAAGTAGAACAATTGGGAATCGAGAATGTTTTAAGAAATTGGAAACCTTATTATGTTTGTATTGGAAGTTTAAAGTTTAAAGGACTTGTTGAGGAACTTTTACACTTCACGTAGGAAACCTATGGAAGTTTAAAAGTTTATCGTTAGAGTTTATTTATAAAACATCACTTAAGACGTTAGCGTTCGTCTAAATTACGTGCGATTTACCAGATGAGGTTTTATTTGTTCTTTACACGACGGCGTTAACTTGATTAATTGAGAACAAAGCGCCTTCTATTGTGAAACAGAATCTCTCGAAAGTTCGCAAGCTTTTTAAGTTTTCAAGAACTACTGTAATTTTGGCTGTGTTTCTGATCTATCGTATAAAAAGATAATTTCCCGATTTTACAATTTTTACACATTATGTACGTTTATCCAAAAATATATTCCTATAAATTTCATGCAGTACTACATTTATCGAAATGTATTGTATGCATGGAAAATAAGAATTCATTATAAGATGTTATATTTAGACTTATGTTTAATTTTTAATAATACTAATTAACGCAGAGTACAAACTGTATTTATTTAATGAATATGTGGTTACCTAATTCGGATCTTTCCCCATGTATAAGTTTGCGGGTCAGTTATTATGTTTCCAGCCGTTGCTGCTACTACAGCAGCACTGGCCAAATATTGCGGTCGATCCCCTATAAGTAGAAATGTTAATCTGTTTCACGCATGCGCCGCCCGTAGGTGTGTGCTGGACTCGTGTATTTTAATCTTAACATTTGTATTAAAATACACTAACGACCCGCACCGGCTTCGTAAGAATAGAAAAGCTAATACGCTTATATTTCGCATACGCTTAGTCGCCGAATTTTATTCAGCCGGCATGACTCTTCAACAATCATCGTCATGTTCCAACCGATTTACACAAAACCACCTTAATCTTTTTCAGATTCATGAAAAATATTAAATTCCGTTCGGTAGTTTGCAAATAACAAAATCATTACGCCTTCTAATCGTATCTAAGGTCCATGAGTTGAAATTTTACAACCTTATTTTCAATTGAAAAAGAATAAGATATTCGGTTTTATTTTTATCGACAAATGTTTTCATCGACAATGCGTACATCCCTATTGCGATCGCCATGTTGCACATGCGCCGTGGGAACCCTCGCGGCGCGGTTGCTAGGCAACGCGGTGCCCGGCCAGCCACGTGCCCCTGTTACTGTTATCGCTTTATCAGTCTGGCCAAGGCCACTTTGGCAAGCGATCGCCATGAGGCATGGAATCTTGGCTTGACACCGGTCAGATGTTTTGATGTCCGACTTAAACAAAAGAAGTTTCATCAGGCAAATGAAACTTTTGAAAAAAAATTTCTTCAATTAGTTTTGACATATAAAATCTAGAGACCATCAACTGGCAAGAGTAACAATATTTTTTAATGGCCTGGTTCAATTGACCATAAATATACATTATTAAATGAAACCATTTTTACAGATTTTTCTCGTTATTTTTAACTGTAATCCCGAAGCCAATACTTTGAAAACTATCCGTAGCCAAGGTTAACCATATCATTGTATTCAGGCATCGAACACGTCATTCTGTGTCGTGACAAATAATGCTGCAAATATTTGAATCGGGAACTACTACATTATGCATGTATTATACATATAAACCTTCCTCCTGAATCACTCAGTATAAAGTTAGTTTTTATTATTTAAAGTACTTTAAATTAAAAAAAAAAAAAAAAAACGAACTTTTTGGCACCGTCAGCGCTCTAAGCACACTGAAATGCTTAATATTATTGGTTATCGACTGTTTGGGACTATGATGAAATAAAAAACGAAATGAAAACGTTTTGAAATATTATATTTTGATATAAATTCTACATGATAATTTATTTAATGCCTTAAAATACCTCCGGAAGTTGCGCGTGCCTGATCGTGGTCGTAATTTTCATTCACTTGTTTCATGGAAATGAACACGTATAATATTAACGGAGGTATTACGTCACATTTTAACGAACAAATAAGAGTTGGGTAACACTTCCAAAAATTTAATTACGAGGGTATGGAATATTTTTTAAACCCGCGATCAACCCCGGTTATTGAATTACAAACAAAAACCTGTTTTGTTTTCGCTCCGTGATTGGCGTATCCCTTATTACGTTACACCACGTTGAAGGTTCAAAGTTAAATATTTGCTTTGGATAACAATAGAAATTGATAAACATCGATCCCAAAGGCTTGGTCGTTGCCACCTGCAAATATCAACCAAATAACTCTCGCCCGTCTCTGCTAATGGACACTAGATATACTTTTCTTCAACTACGGCGGGTTTCTTTTAAACTGGTTGGTGGACTCGTAAGGGGTGGGCAATCGATAAGGGTGGTCGTCTGCAGTTTCCGGAATGCAGCGGAGCACCGGATGCACCAGCAGCAAATAATTTGTATTTCAACATTTTTACAAATTCAAATATCTTTAAATATATAAGCGTTACACTTACTTGATTGTTCTTAAATACTACCACCCGGTTCGGAAAAGAAAAGCCACTGGACTGGGAAGAACCGGTAAAAAAAACTCAGCGGGACATTTTTTTGCCACTATTTGACATGCTCACAATGTTTTAAAGTCCACTTAAAAGAGCCTAGAGCGATCAATTAATTTCCAGGGTGTTTTTCATTTAAATAATCACTTTTATTACAATAGCCCCAAACATTACTAATACACACAAACATTCCTTTACAATTTATTGAATTTAGAAATTGATGCATTGTGTACGTTTTCTGGGATTTTGTTGTAAAACGTATACATTGATTGTCCCATAAAAGAATTACTTTTTCTACGCAGTCTGGTTGAGGGTAGAATTAATTTATGTTTGTTCCAAGTATTTATATCATGTACATTACCATATCTGGAAAATGTATTCTTGTTTTTATAGATGGTATTATGTTTTTAAATACGGGATTGCACTTGTAGTAAGTTCACGTTTTTAAAAAGTTGTTCGGATTGCTTTCACGTGACTGTTTCTTATTTGAATATGTCGATAAATAAACATGTTCATTTTTTAAACGGTTTTATTTAGCTCGACCCGTACGGAATTTGTTTGTTTATTTATTTGGGTCAAAATTAGAAATTGAAATTTAAGCACCTTCCCGTTGTCAGATTGATCTGAAATTTGGTACACACATTTAATTTAGATGACAATACAATATTGTAGTTTTCAGTGCACATAAAATAAAACCGTTTAACTTAAAAGTTTTTAAACGGTTTTATTATCTTACCAATCTAATCATATTGTAATAAATATATCATTCTAATAGTCTATCTCGCATTTTAGGTTATATTTCTTCGATGTTATTCTGTAGTTATGTAAATATTCTTGGGCTCTTTCCGTCATAGTCGGACAATTTTGAATAATCTAAGAGTTTTGACGAAGATAATATATTTCTAACTCTCTCTACACGTTCAAATAATTTGACATAAGATTGCGGCCTTTGCTTGGAATGCATTTAGGGATACTCGTACTCGGACTTACGCGATGCGTTGCGAAACTTACTTTATTTTAATTGTCATACTTGTGAGTTTCAGTTTGTTAGCAAATAACGAGGCGCGGTTGGTTGACAGCGGACGACGCGACGCTAATGACTCCGGATTCGCGGAAACCGGAAGTGGGGGCCGTGTGGGGGGGGGGGGGGTGGAGGGGGTCTTAGCTTTGGCTTTAGTTAGGCGAGGAGGTTAGACGTATTCAACAAGTTAATTCAATTGAAAGTCGCGGCTGTATGAGGTCTCAATTAAATGTCCCATTAAAAAGTTTAAAAGAAACTTTCATTGTAGAAACCAGAAATGGATATTGGTTTACATTCAAACGAAGTAGTGAAAAGTATCAAGTTTAAGACAATCAAAATTCTCAAGCAAGAAACCCTTTTCGGGGCACAAGGACACCGTTAATTTTCCTTTCATCTTTGGGACGATTTCCGAGGACCACCTCGCCCTGTTCCTCTACATTGTTACTCGAATATAAATAGGTTCCATTAATCGAAGCCTTGATGGAATTACCTTTGGCCCGAATGGATTTTTCCGGGCGCCGCCCGAGCTCCGGCGAGATATTCAGAGACGAGACGAAATGGGACACCGAGGGACGCGCTCTTAAAAATAATGATCCGTTCCCGTTATACGGTTTACCTTTGCCTTTTATTAACGTGCGGCCCCTTTCTCGATCCCGAATTGTGTTTGTTTGGATTCCGTTGAATGTGGGGCGAAATGGCGGTTTAGATTAAAAAATAACTAGATTTTGATCACACATTTGCGTTACGATATACGTTTTAATAACAAACTTCTTATACGGTACTTAAAGCAACGGTAGCTTGCATGATAGATATTCCTAATCGAAATGCCACGGCCTGATAGAAGATTGGCTTTAAGTACAAATATTTTTAAACTAAGCGTTTTGTCTGGTGAGTTGGGTAGCAGAAGGGCAAAATTCTCAGCGGCTTGCAAGACGCCTGCAACATCTCTGGTGTTGGCAGTGCCAATGGGCGGCGATGATCGCTTACCATCAAGCGTACCGCTTGCTTAGATAATAAACTTTTGACAAAAAGCGTGCTCACTTGAAGTCCTTTTGATTCAACCTATCATAACCAAGTGTAATTATAATTGTAAAAAGACACTGTCTTTCTGTCTGAACGTAAACCTCTTTTTTAACCAATAACGAAGTGAGTTCTGTGTCTTGGTTCTTGTGTAAAGTTTTGTATTACCTGTGTTTGTATATCCGTAATTAATAAACCTAACTGAGATACACGTTGATGGTGCATACAAGCATGCGGTATGCTTTCATATTTTTTATTTGTTCATACAAAAAAAATAATTGCAAACGATGGACCAATAATTGGAACACAACCTGCCCGGGCTTCGCACGGGTGACGTAATATATACTTCCCCAATTTATTTTCCGCTTGCACGCCTTGTTTTATCAGCGCGGCAAAATTTTCGACATCTTCAATGATCATCGTCATATTTCAATCAATCTTTTTCTTTTTCCCGACGCATATCAATATCTGCGGATAGAATAAATGAAAAACTAAAATGTTACATCGACCTAGTTCCTATTTGCTCCAAAATTCAGTCGATCAAGTTCAGATGTCGTTCGTAAATACGGGCTTCTAGCAACGGTACAGTAACTCAATGTGCCTTCGGCCTACAGGGTGTGCTGCGGGAACTGGAGCAAAAGAAGCCACAGCTGGACGAACTTCTGCACACCGCGGAGAGCCTCAAAGGCACCGAGAACCGGCAGCAGCTGCACGGAAAAGGTCAGTGTTGCATCATTACTTCCACAGGATGAGCTACCTTCTACAGGATGAAGCTGCTCTCGTGCTTTGTTGAACTTTGGCTCTCCCAATCGTACCTTTGGTTACGCGTATACAGTTACTGTCAGGCGCCTTGCTTCAGAGCTCTATCTGGTTAGGCTGGGACTTATTGTGCGTTTGTCTAGACGCGTTTTAACCACGAGTACATCTAATTTAATGTTTTTGAAATCAAAGGATTATTTAACCGAATTTATAAAAGAACTGTAACAGATATTATATAATCCCCATATAATATGTTCTGGTACAGTTCTTACTTTCGATATCACAAGATGTCGTCAAAGAGAGTGATATTTTTACCTGTTACTTTATAATTAAACATGCCGTACAATGTCTCCGTCTGACTTTGAAAATCGAAGCTTTAATGTAAGTTCTTGTCCCCATTTGAAATTCATTAAGTGAAAACAGAATTCGATTAACGTACCACTCAGAAATCTGGTGTGTATACAAATTGGATACTAAGCCTTAAATGAAAAGAATAATTTAAATGGAAGTAATTGAAGGGACGCTGAGTGGAGTATCGATTAATTTGTGAAGTGATTTGTTAGCAAGATTAACGATGGTTCGATCGCTTAGAGGCGGCAGAGATGCTCAAACTTTAGGTGTCTGACGGGAACGGAAATTAATGTTGTGAAATTAACTTTTTACAATAATATCTTATCGAGCTGTCATGGTGATTTATTTCGTACCTATTAATGTTAATAATTTAATTTTTGACAACTAGTAAATTGCCACAGGCATATGAAGTGTAGCAGCATTAAAAACATTCTGGTCCTGATAGCTTGTCGTTCAGATTTAATTAACTTTTCTCTCTACAACCATTTGAAAACTCTTAACATAGCAACTATATCGCGGCTAAACAAAATCACTGGTATAAATTTCGCCGTATTCGTAGACAAGGTTGCACGAGCACCTAGCTCTCTGTCACAGGGGCGTTTATTGAGTTGTCAATCCGATCAATTTGGATCTTCTGGCTCCAGTAACGTGGATAGTAACGAAATCGTTCCAATTTAACATTCAAAAACTTCATTTTCATACTCTTGAAATTCCATATTAATCCATTCCAATTACAAAGCGTTTATTAAATCGTGTAGTTACCAAGCGAACAAGTGTTCTGAATCCATGGTGTACTTAAATCGTGATGTTTTATTTAATTCAACAAGGCCGGTCTTTAATTTAAGATACCTTATGTCCCAAATGTACAAGCGTGTCCTTGTAAATAATTATGCAAACTTTGGAGGGACATCAACAGACGGAGAATTGTTAAAGACATTTCTTCATTAAACATTTGAAAATTAAGCTAGCATACATAATTACTGTTAGTTTAGGCTGTAAATGATATCGAGGGTCGTTAATTACGTCTGTTTATTGCGTATATCACCGTGATGTCCTTCAAATTAGAAGATATATTTTACAGGGGTTTCATTACAAAATTGTTAAAAATAGTATCGTAGAAGTTACCAAATTTACAGCAGTGCTTTTATTCAATGTTATAGGTCAATATTTAATTTATCACTCGATAAGTTGAATTTGTGTTTATACAATAATTAACACCTCAATGTTTGAAATTTCTCAATGTTTCAATCAATGTGTGTTGCCAGTGATGACCTACGGAACCGAGACGTGGTCCTTCACTGCTGGCCGTATGAGGAAGCTCAAAGTCTTTCAGCGAGCTATGGAGCGGGCTATGCTCGGTATTTCTCTGCGTGATAGAGTTCGTAACGAAGACATCCGCAGTAGAACCAAGGTAGCCGACATAGCTCAGAGGATTAGCAAGCTGAAGTGGCGATGGGCCGGCCATATAGCTCGTAGAACCGATAACCGTTGGGGAAGACAGGTTCTCGAGTGGCAGCCTCGTACTGGCCATCGCAGTGTAGGACGACCCCCCACTAGATGGAGTGACGACCTGTGCAAATGTGCGGGAAGTCGATGGATGCAGGTGGCTCAGGATCGTACTTCGTGGCAGTCTGTGGGGGAGGCCTATGTTCAGCAGTGGACTCAAACAGGCTGAAATGATGATGATGATGATGAAGTTGAATTTTGAGGATAATTAGTTGCGAAAAAGAAAAGAGCCATCAACATCATGCAATAATGCGAAAGGAAACAAAATGATAAAACTCTTGAAGAGTTCTTAGCAAAAAAAATTTTCGCCTGGTATCTGATCACCGAAAACTACAAACTCACTTTGTAGATATAAAAAGTGTGTGTCAAGAAAAATGTTCCAAGGCCGCTTGTTGTTGACGATTAGGAGGCACTTGTGGCTCCACTAGATTTCTGTCGTGTTGACGTAACGAGGCGCTCATTTAAGCACCCCTAAACAAAACCCCTCGACTCGGGCGGTGTTATCCGCGCAACCTTCATCTTCAGATGTACTGCGACAATTTTTTGTCTTAAACCCATTCATCTTTTTTATGAAACTTGTTGAAGAGATGTTCAGATTTAATTTTCGTCACGGCTTAGGTAAATCCACAAATCCGTCGAGCTAACCACTCGGCCTGCCTAAAGCTAGTCTAGATACATTTCATGTCTACATTTATATGATGTAATTGTTGTTTATATAGATACATAGGAGTACATGCGTTAATTAGCTGCCGGAGACAAGCACAAACTAATTAATTAATACAATTGATTGATGAACATGTTTTGTGGGAATATCCTAATTAAAACTGAATAGTTGTACATTTTCTGTTAATGGGTTACGAAGCTTTTGTTTATAGTCGTTAAATACACACGCTTCTATGGGATTTTGCCTCATTCGGCCTAGTTTTGCAAGGTTCATATAAATTTTATTGTGCTCCAGTGCCGTTGTATGTGTTGGGTCAGATTGGAGGATATACTATATTTTGGACTTATCTGAGAACATCTAAGGGAAAATTCCAACATTGTTTCTATGTAACAGATATTATCAAGTAATATAGAATTAAAAATGTGTATATTTGAATAAAAACAGAAACATGGTTCGACGTGTTATGTAGCTGTTGGGGGCGTAGATTCTGTCTGAGTATAGGTAATGCTGTTCACTATCGAGCTTATTACGACACATTCTATTTAATAATATTAAGAGAAGAAAAAGAAATTACGTCACAATTCGCCTCTCCATCGCGGGAGAAAGCGTTGAGGAAGAAGAGGTTTGAGGCAATTTTGCACAGAGATGAAGCATTTACGGGGCCGTTACGCAATAATAATAAACACCGAAAATAAGAAAAATAATATCCGTTTCGCATTAGAGTCCATCGAGCGGCCTCGAGCGGTTTACGAGCGGCTTTTACGAGGCGCGTTTACGAGATTGGCAGGCGGAGATCCCCTGCCCAGGCGTACTCTGGCCATCTCACCTTCCAATCCTCTGAGAAACAGTCGTTAATCTTATTATGACGTAATTCGTGTAAACGCGGGACTCTATCGCGAAACGCGAGCGCGTCCTAGAAATATTACAATCAATATAATGATATTACACAAATTACTCTTAAACATTCTTTACGAAGACAAAATAGGCCGTGGAAAAGGTATTTTAGATTTTAGTATGTATGAAGGTTTAATAACAGCTCTTTGGCTGTACTTTTTTGGCTTTTACTCGGTTTTAGAACCATTAAATGAACATTAAAAAAATTAACTTAAAAAAAAATCCCGTCCGCCAAAATGAGTAAATTCGTTACATTTAAAAGTTTTATTCCAAAAATGGCGCACAAGTCGTGGATAAAAAATTGGGACGTTTATTTAAATTTCGAATCTAATGCAGTGTCAGCGTAGCACGAAGTTGGTTCAAGCGTTTTCAATACGCGTGTTTTGAGTGCAAACATGAAGTTTAAGAACGGATAAGGTTGTCCTAAGTCAGTTCTGAAAATGTTGAACAAGATCGCCAATATTTGTAATTACGAAAAGTTTGACTCTTTTAAAAAAGTCTTTTCATATAAATATTTGCGTGGGACTGCAGCTGAACGAAACCTAATGAATCGTGTACAGATTCGCGATCCTCTGTTCACACCAAATGAAACCGATAAGAACGCTATAAAAGGTCGTGATCAATGGATCAGCAGTGGAGCTGCAGAAACTGCGACGGAACTCGGGTTATCACGCAATAAAGTGCTGTGTGTTTGATCCCAACATGGGAGGGCGGGGCATAACCATCGATTTGGATATCTACTGCCATCTGCTGCAGAGAATTCAATTGATCAATTGAAAAGTGTAGTGTTTATCATGATGACAGGCCACACGCATCTTCGATTATTCAACAATTGCGAGAGTTTGGTTTTTTTATGCGAAAAGTTGTCAAACTAGCAGACGGTTCACTTGATGTTAAGTGAATACCGCTGCCCATGGACATCTGCCACACCCGAGGGTTACAGATACGTTGACAACCTTTTGAAAATTGGGCCCCGGCTACCTCATACACCAGACGAAACGCGAAAGTATTTGTCATACTTCCACTTTACGCTGGTCTTCTGTGAGGTCGTGTTACTTACCCGGACGGGCCAGCCCATTCGTGCAACAGCCGAGGCTACTGCGTGGCCCTACCACCGTGGTTGGGAAGTACTAATGCATCCACTATATATCCCTGACCTTGCAACCGCAAATTTCCACCTGTTTCGGTCTCGTCAAAATTCTTTGGGAAGTGTTGGGTTCTATATCAAAAGAGGACTGCCAAAACATCTTGTCTCATTTTTCGATCACAAGTTCCAAAATTTTTACAGCAAAGAATTTTATGTCACTACCAACATGATGGCAACAAGTTATCTAACAAAATGCTCACATGTATATTATAATAAAATATAATGAACCTATGGAAAAAATGTCTTTAATTTGTATATAACATAGGAAAAAACTTTCCCGCGACCTAATATGTACCCGTAAGATTCTTGGTCATTTTCTATTATGTATATGAATCTACGTCACAAAGGATGTTTCAATGACAGGTAAATAAAAAGGCTTAAGATATATATTCAGCCTTT